TCCCTCCACTCCAGATCAGTTTCACTATCTGCTGAGTCCACGTTGTGCCACACTTGGGAAACGTAGCCACAAAAACGTCAGTCTCTCTTAGCTTGAGCTCTTGCCTTAGGGCCATCACATCCCCAGGCTTGATCAGGGTTGGTAGCAGTACACCATCAATGTATTCCCCTGTGATGGGCTTATCGTCTTGCCCTTTGTTCCTCTCGTGAAAATCAAACAATTTAAGGGTCCAGTCCCGAGTTGGTGTCTTCTTCCCGTCAGGTGAATGAGTTTTGAAAGATTCTTTCACATCCCTCGGAACCATGATAGTGATTACTGATTAATTATGTTAGCCTAGATGGTAGAGGGGCGTGGGATCATCACACGTGAGAAAACATGGCCACTGCAGGTGCTGCAGCAAGGCTAAGGAAGCTGGCTGTTCTTAGGCAAAACAAGCCTGCTCCCAAGATATATCTTTGCGACTGGTTTGTGAAGCTAGTGAAACCTGGCAGAGAATTACCAAAGGATCACGTGCAATGTCACGTGCCTATGAAGTAAAATAATAAGATATGTTAATATTATATATAATACAAATGTTCTTTATTTAGAATGATCTAATTTGATATTAAAAATTATTTTGAGCGTATTTATGGTGTGGATATTCATAAAGTCAACACAAGAATTCAAAGAGGTACGTTAAGTTAATCAAATAATGAAATTAAAAAAATTATACACATAATCAGAATTGGCTCAAACTTTTTACATAGCATAAGGAGTTTAAGGACATCAATACGTATTGAAAAATGTAGTAAAATTTGGGTGATTTTAGATCCATTTTGACAAATATGGACTGATTGGATGTTTCCTATAAACCATGCTAAGTGATCTAGACAGCATGCATCAATATAAAATTCATAAAAAATTCAATTTTGATCGGAATCAGCCCAAACTTTCTACGCAACATAAGTACCTGTATATGTATCAGGAAAAAATATAAAAAGGGAGATTTTTCTTGTTTTCAATTTCGGCAAATTTTGGCCCGAGACCATGTACTATAGTGCAGGGATTTTGACTAGATTTTTGAGCAACTTTTAAAAATCACAAAAAATTCAATTAGCTTTAACCAGATTTTTGAGCAACTTTTAAAAATCACAAAAAATTCAATTTTGATCAGAATCAGCTCAAACTTTCTACGCAACATAAGTGTCTGTATATGTATCAGGAAAAAAAATTAAAATGGAGATTTTTCTCGTTTTCAATTTTGGCGAATTTTGGCCCGAGACCATGTACTATAGTACAGGGACTTTAACCAGATTTTTGAGTAACTTTTAAAAATCATTAAAAATTTAATTTTGATCAGCATCAGCTCAAACTTTCTATGCAACATAAGTGTCTGTATATGTATCAGGAAAAAATATAAAAATGGAGATTTTTCTCGTTTTCAATTTTGGCGAATTTTGGCCCGAGACCATGTACAGGGGATTTTGACCAAATTTTTGAGCAACTTTAAAGTTCTTCTACATATAACAAAAAGTATAAAATTTGAGATTTATTTCCTTTTTAATTTCGGTGAAATTTGACCGCCAGATTATTGAGCAACTTTTAAGAATCTAATTTTGATGAAAACCTGCTCAAAAATTCCAATTAGCATAAGTACATGTATATGCATCAGCTGAGCACTATGCCAAAATACTGTGGGAAACCCTGAGCTTATAGTACAGGGTATTTTTCAGAAATTGACCAATTTTTATAAATGGCCATAACTCAAAAAATTGTTAGTCGGAATTGACTCAATCTTTCTACATAGCATAAGGACATCAATATGTATCAAAATTATAAGGGCAGCTAGGGGTTTTAATTTTTCTGTCAATTTTTTACACTGAATATTTAAGCCCAATTTCTTGTTTCTACATTGTACATTACTTAAAGTCATGCAGTTTTAATAAAATTAACTGCTACTACTCAGACCCTCCCCTTTTTGTGGGTGTGTTTTAATTTTAAATTATATTTATTGCTACATTATAATGAAATTTTATAAAATTTCAGGTAAAGAGAAAAACCGAGTGGGCAAGTCTCTTCCTATATCTTTGAGAAAATATCGCACACCAGATGTTAAAGTAGCCTATCTAATATTAGTGAGTTAGTATTACTATTATAATTATTATTGTATTATGTTTTCCTTAGGCTAAAGGAGAGTTTAAATTCCCAGATCTGTTCAGTAAATATATATCGAATCCAAATCAACCGTAAACTTTGAACAACAACAATAATTACAATCAACAAAGTGTTAATATGATGCATGTGTCAATTGTTGTTTAGTTTTGTTTGAAGAGAGAGAGTTGTATGCTTGAACGATGACGAAGGACGAAAGCGTTACCTGAGAAACTGATGGTATAATACAAACATCTCTGAAGTTTGTATTATCAATAGAAGAAACATCTTCTATTGATAGTATAAAGTCGATGAACGATGCTACCATGAGAATTCATTCACCTTTGAGACTCCCTCACTCTGCTCTGCTGGACTCTTAATCCCAAACTGAAAAGATGTCCCTGTATTTGTCTGTTCCCACACATTGGGTGGTCTTTCTCGACACCACTTAGAGTTTTTCAAGCTCATCATCTGTCAAGTTTAAATACTTTGAAGAGAGCAATATTTCAAAATCAGCTAGCTTGCTATGAATAGTTTGAACGAACACTCTAATAATGTTTGCCATTTGTTGTGCGATGAAGTTATTCTCTACCAGATACTCAAGCTGAGGTTTGGGAATATTAAACCCTGGTCAACTAACTAAATTGCACTTCCAGTGAACGAAGAGCCTCAAGAGCTCTCCTAACCAAGTCACAGGCAACAGATTCATCCTCACTCAATCCCCTATCCAGATTTCCTTTCAGAAGGATTTATCGAAAAACAAGCTCCAACTGAAACAAAGACAAATCTAGAATGCCTTGGTCCACACACACATTATATAATGTCAATAAGTATAGCATTATTAATTTTTTGACATCCTTATGGTGTAATTTTGTAACACTTGAACAAAATATTTGTTATAGAGTTTTTCCTCACAGGCATTCTCAAAGGATTATGCATATTCCATTTTTTCCACCCACAAAATGTCTTAATCGAGGGAGAATGAGTTACGTTTAAAGGAAGCAAGGAATAAAGCACCTGTGGGCATTGGAATTCTAATATCCATTGGCCAAAAACTTGTGGCACCTGCATTGGCAGGAACATTTGAACAATGCTGTTTTGCCATTTATAATGAAGGAGCTCCCACATGTACACTTTCAAGTACAAAAGAGCTAGAGAAATAACAGTTTTTACATATTTAAGTAGTATAACACTAAATCTATGCTTTTATGTAGCTTTTTCAACATCTGCCTCAATTGGTTACTCATGAAGAAATTATGTTGTTGTTACTTATGTAACTCATGAAATTACCGTATAGCTGGTTTATTTCGTGTGGAATTAATTTTCGTGCAGGCTCAAATCCACTAAAATTAATTCCACTAAATTTTATTAAAACCAATTAAATATTAACAAAAATTTAGCAAGGCACTAAAATTAATTCTAATGAAAATTTAAGCAGCAAAAATTTGAGGCCACGAAATAAACCAGCTATACGGTATGTTACTTATGTTGCATAGAAAATTTGAGCCAATTCAGATAAAATTTGGATTTTACGCTTCAGTTACGCTTGTTTAA